AGCAATTAAGTGAAAATAGAAGAAAGAAAAAAAGATATTAAAAAAAAAAAAAAAAAAAAAAAAAAACAGAATCCTCCATGGCTAAAGAAAAACTAATTTAATTCCTTAGAGTTTATTATTTTTATAGAAAATTATATTAATTCTGGAAATAAAACCCATTTTCATTTAAATTAATCAATTTTAATAAGCTAATTTTAATAAGCTCTTCTAAGTTACTCAACATCAACATTTTCTCACTTCCCTGTTGGGTTGCTCATACATTTTAGATCCTGTAACCGTGTCTATCAGTTTAACCAACAGGAAAGGGAACATAATTCATCCACATAGAGGAAATAATGAAAAATGAAGAATTTATTTTCATAAATCCCACAGTATATAAGGGTGTTCACATATCTGATGAGGAAAAGATTATCTTTGGAGCAATTTACTGCTCTTCTTTTACCAGTTCAGGACTTATATCGAAGTGCCTTCATAGAAGATGAAATAGCATATTTAATTTTCAAAATAAAAGCCTAAACATGACAGTGAAATAAACCCTCATGAGAAAAGTCCACATCCTGACAACAGGTTTTATAGGTTTACATTTAATCTCTAATCTGACATAGGGGGAAAGTCTGTATGGAGTTTTGATAAGGCGTTTGGTACACAAGGGCCAATCTTTTATCTTGAAGAGCGATAGCTTATCTGTGTTGAGCTCAGACTTTGTTTTCCCCGGCGCCACATTTGGGGGGTATTTTTTTTTTTTTTTTTTTTTTTGTCCAAAGGTATTTCAGATGACAGTGCAAAACAGTTTGGATCCTGACCTCAGGGAAGCACGCTGTAACCTGGCAAACCACAAGAAAAAATGAAAATAAAACAAACTAGACAGTCATCAGCGTACAGTCGTCAGAGATTGTAAATGTCGCAATCTGGGACAAATGTTTTTCAGCAGCGACGTCGGGTTCCAGCTGTGATCCACACCACAGCCTAACAACAAACATAAAGCTTTTCAGTGAGTTTAACCGTTTTATTTTGGTTCTGTAAAGGGAGGGGACAAAGAAGCTGAATGCTCCAAAGGCCTCAGTCTGTTAATCTCACAAATAAACTGCAGGTCAGTCCACGAAAATGTAAAACATCAAAACCACACAATAAATACCTTAAAACGCATCAAAACACATTCCAGTTCCTTGGTTTTTACACATAAAACACATACAGTACTTGTTTAACTGTTCAGACATACACTTGTTTTGCAATATTTTTCATATGTACATTTTCAGTAGTTGCTACACAGATAGTACTCCAGCACATTTTTTGAACTTGAAACTGCAGATGGAACATGAGAATAACAATGCATAAACAAACAAACAAAACAAAAACATCTTTTTGGCTTTTTCAAACTAAGTTGAACTTCAGCCTATTTTGCTAGCTTTTTCAGGAACATGGCCAAGGAGTAGCTAACAATTATAAATATAACCTGACCCCCACAGAGTTTTTAAAAAACATTTTCCAGAGGACATGCACAGGCCTCCTGTGGTTTCAATCCTTGTCCTTGTGCTAATTTCTTTGGCTAGCACTGTGCTAATTACAACCAGATTTAAAGCTAATGTGTTAGCCAAACCATAAACATCAATCATTGACGTTCATTTAGAAACTAATGTGTTTGTGTTATAATTTTAAGTTCCACTTTGATTTTAACCATATTTTTAACACTAGTGATTATTTTAGCTATAACATACTCCACTATTAGCCAGCTATGCTTTTACTATTATGCTTTGCCAGTGGTTTGTTCATCAAAATGGCTGCCATCTGCTTGAAGCAATATTAATATGTTCAATTTGCTTAGAGTGAAAACTATGACTTGGGAGTACTCACTTTAATTTTAAATGTGTTTGTTGCAGTTCTGAAAATCTTTTGAGATTTTGGTGAATACTGTTAACTGCTGTTAGCAATATTAGCAAAAAATATATTTCTCGGTATTTTATTAATTTAAAGACAATAGCAACACTTTCTTTCTTTAAGATTGAGCAGAACTGAGTCCATGACTGATTTATTAAGATACAAAGTATCAGCAGTGCAAATTAGCAGTTTATTTCCACAGCTATCGCTGTGCTGTATACAACTGGCAGCCATTTTGGATTTTAAGCTTAGGGTTGACTTAGAAATCTACAACATTTTCAGTCAAAGTTCTGACTTAGGGAGCACCCTAGTTGATTTCTTGAACTTGGAACTCAGAAGTTCTGACTTCCAAGTACAAATGAAATACAGCAAAAGAGCAAGAGCAGTAAGGTAATAAAAATGACTAACTTTGTTCAAGGTAAAACACAGATTAAGCATCTTTGACATCTCAGGAACGTTATCCCCTTCTAATAATCATTAGCAATATTGTTCAGAGTGGGACAGTCTGAAAATGTTACAAAAATTAACACTGTTAGCCATTATGGTTACATGGGACCTAATGACATTTAAAGCACAGATTATACCAAACCGTACCAACTAGAGCCTCATGTATTTGTTTATGTAGTCAGTGGTTGATGGTTAATTTTTACTGTACTTTTAGGCATGTTGAACAGGATTATATTTGCTTGCAGCAACAGTTAAGGTCAGCTTAGCACTAGCAACGTACTACACCCATGAACAGAAAGTAAAAGCAGTAAATTAAGGAAACATCCAAGTATCACTACTCATCACCCGTACAGAACTAAAAGGCTAATGCACAGCCAACTGCATAAAGGCATAAAATGTGTAAGGTGTGGTCTAACCCTTTATTTAAGGCTGCAGCCGTTTTATATTGCATACATTAACCAGAATGTTAAAGCCTCCGAGTTACCCACCAGCCAATGTATTATTTTTTTCTGTTGTTTCACACACAAACGGCAGAATACACAGTAAACAGATAGAGACTGTCGAGCGGACTGACTTTTCAAACGTTGACTTGGTAAAACTAGCAAGGACTTCAGAGTACAGCAACAATTTCATCCTTCCTTGGCTGTCCTTGTTCGGACCCACAGTGTAAGGTATTGTGTTTCCACTCCTAGTCATGAAGTCATTGAAAGAATGCAGGGAAAGGATGCACAATACTTGTTTGATAAAGCAGCCAGCAGGATGGTAATAAGCATCAGGACTCAGAAGTGTGAGCTTATTGAACAGAATGATCAGAAGCAGGTTTCTGACAGGCTGTCATTACTGACTAACCAGCTAACCAGCAAGTAGTTTCATTTCCCGATACGCTTCCAATGTCATTCTTTTGTGAATTAGTCTGGTTTACAAGTACATCTAGCAGAAGGACTCGAGTCCCTTATCAAATGTAAACGAAAAAACAGATGAAGCTTCTTATAAATACAGATTTGATTGTTGAGAACCTAGCTTTCCCCCCTGTTGCTGAGGCAGCAAAACCACAGATATCTGCATCACATTGGCATAAACTCTGTAACAGTAACAGCGCACATTTAAATAAAACTAAAGATGAGATAAATTAAATCCAGCAGTTCTATGAAAGAACTTTGAACTTGACCAAGGCCACAGTCCTCTACAGCTGGACATCAGCCAGATGTTAACAGTAGAGTGACATCCTACTGCGTCTCATGGCCTCACTGATCAAATAGGCGGGGCTGACCTCCGGCTCCTCCTTCATGACCACAATGTTCTGCCATTCTCCGCACTGGTTGGACTTCTTGATTGTATCCACCACACAAAGAGCATATAGGCAATCCTCAAAAGTGGCAGCCATCGTCAAGGGCCTTCCATCCCAGGTCCGCCGGTCATCCTGGTCTTGGAAGGCCTGCCGCACAGCCTGGATCATGCGGATTGTCCCGGTGAGGTACGGGGATGGAATGTCACTAAAGGCCTTTTCTGGCAGGGAGGCCTTCTCAAGAGGAGTGGTGTCTTTGAGCAGGAGTTCAGGACCGCCACCGCTAGCCCCGCCGCCACTGTTCTTCTGTCCATACAGGTCTGTGCCCGTGACCATTAATCTCCCGACGGTTCCCACAACAATCACTTCCTGACGAAACTCTCCAGGGACGTTGAAGTTGAGGGTGACAGTGCAGCAAGCGCCTCCTTCTAACACCATCTGGAACGTGCAGAAGTCGTCACTGGTTATCTGACGGATGCCCCGGATGTGGTCCGTCTGTTTGACGAAAGTCTTTAGGAAGCCGTGCACCTTGACTGCACGCTGACCTGTTAGAAATGTGAGGAGGTCAATGATGTAGCTGCCCACCGAATGCAGTCCACCGCCTCCCATCAGGTCGTCACAGCTCCAGTTGTATTTCTTCCCCAAGAGACTGCCACTGTGGACCTTAGTGACAAAAAAACAGAAAGATATGTCAAGGTTTTTGCTATTGCTTCAATTTCCTACTGCAAAGAAACCCCAGAATGAGTCATAAAATAAGTGAAATCAGAATCCTTTTTGTTTTCTCTAACTATTTCTCTTACAGGAAAAATGAGCAATACGACAACAACAGAAACAGCAAAGCAAGCAAATGTTTTTTCATCATACCTGGGCCTCACAGACCAGCAGTTCTCCGATGTACCCTTCCTCCAGAAGTTCCTTCACTCGAACGAAGGCCGGCAAGAAACGCAACACATTTCCCATAATGCTGAGCAGCTTTGGGTAGTACTGAGCAGCTGACATCATTCGGAAGGCATCCAGAGGAGTGGCAGTCCTATCACATATGACGTTCTTGCCAATACCTTTAAAAAGAAAAGACAGAATAATGACTTTTGTTTTCTCCAGTTGCAAAATCAGTTTTTCCTTGTTCTTTCTTACAGTAGTGTAGAACTTAAGGTGTGGAAAAAAAGAGAAGTGAGTAGATTTAGCAACATCTACAGACATCCTCCTGTGAATGAAAACATGAATTCCCACAAGGAAACAATGCCTCCCTGCAAAATGAGGCAACTCCTACAACAGCTGAGTCTGAGATTTTTGAATGGAACAAGCTCTCCCCTCAGAGTCGAGGAAAGTATATATGCTAGCAACCTTTTAGAAAAACAGACCAAATAGTGAATGCATTCTTTATATCCTGGGAATATTAACAGGCAGTCGACCACTGGGAAGATGTCACTCTAAATTTGAATCCTTGCATGCAATTTGGGAGAATTTATACACCAGAGGGCTCAAAAAAAGACCTGATTAGAACTCGAGGGTATAAGACAGCAGAGATCATAGAGCTTAGATAAGATCAACTGGTATAACTGAAGGCTCAGTAGAAGGCCAATAGAAAAAAAAAGAGAGCAGAAAGAAGCTTTAGACACAGCATGGAACCTAATTAAAATCTCGTCCAGTGGATCAAATGGCCTACAGCTCCAAGCAAAACCCAAATACAGCAGAGACAGGAAACACGTCAGTGATGTGAGGACTGCAGATTCAAGGAGATTTTCTATTAGAGCTAAAATGGAGAACATGACATTAGAAAACAGTAACAGCAGTCCAGTTTCAACTGACAGATCCTAACATGACTCCTGGATGGCTCCCAAGTGCTTGAGGCTCCAGGGATGTGTGGGGATTCCTTAATACATTTTCCTGCTAACCAGGAACATGTTGGATTTTTGCATTTTATGTTCTAATTTTGTCCTTACTGTACAGTAAGTTATTATTAATGTTATATATTTTTATGCTTTTATCTTTGAGTGAACCTACTGCCATTTTACTGCCGTTACATCTGAATTGTAAAATAAAGGATATTTCTATTCTATTCTATTATCCAAAACTAATATGCTATACTGGATTAATAGCATATCAGTCTACTACAAGTAGCCTGGTAACAGTTTTCTTTTTCTATGCTCAAAACAAAGGTGTCAGACTCACGCACAAACGTCCTTCCTTCATTTTAATGCTCCCACATCAGGGCTAAAAATTCTGATTGCTTAATTCATCATCTTCATTATATTTGCAATGAAAATGCTATATGATTAGATGGACAGTGTGCACTCATAGTGGGAAGTGCTGCTTTTCCTTCGGTCCTGCCTAAGGGGTCATGGGTGAGCAAACAGTTTTGTGGATGTGGACGCCCCCCTAATCTGCTATTAGCTCCAATTGGCTAGGTCAAGACATAAATCTGTTTGACCCAGTTCTGAGAAGCACCCCCACCCAGTTTCCAACCAGAGCTGACACACAAAGCCAAGAAACAACAGAGGAGCCCCTGCCTCATTTTTTTTTTTTTTTTTGCTAATTTAGACACAAAAGATGAATTTGCTTTCTTGGTAGATTCCCAAAACATCGGGTGTTTTATCGGAATTCATATGCAACTCTAAGATTTTGCAAAGCAGCGGCTTAAGTAGCTTCAAAAATAAATGACTTGAGGTATTCAATGCACCCTGACTGACTAAATACTAAAATGCCTTGTGGGACTCTCAGTTAGAACTTCATGAAGGCAGAAACAGGGTCAGATGTTTCATGAGCAAAGGTTTGAAAGGTTAAGACTTTGGCATGTTAGCCGGGTGACACAGTGATGATGAAGCTTCACTCACACAGTGACATTCCGTCTTATAGAGGAGGACTTAAGGTTCTCCCATTCTTCATTCAAAGTGTCGAAATCGGCTCTCTCTGACGTAGTTGAGTGACAAAAATTGCATCATCTCATTGGCAAGGAGGATTCCTCCTCCTCTTTTCGACAGTAGAGAAGGAAAAGTGTGTCAAACTATTTCGACAGAGCTCTGTGTAGAGTTTCATGATGTTTATTGCCGTGCTTTCTGCAGAAATGCGCTCGGACACCAATGTTCATGTCTCGATTCAACTAGTCTGCTTCCAGTATCCGTCTTTTGTATCCATATGTGAGGAGCAAAACGTTTGTATGATTCTTTACTAAATAACTACAAAGATCGTCAAATGGCTAAAAACTCCTGGACGTAAATTGTAACGACTTTGTCTGCAGAGGAGGCTGTCTGCAGACAGGTGTGGCACTGTGTCCGTGACCGTTTCGTAAAAGCAAAATGGAGGATGGAGGGAGGTGAGGGAAGGAGCGTGACGTATACTGAAGTGGGATGGGCCTCCCCTGGTGGCCTGGGTTTTGTATGAAAGGTGTGCGAGAATATAAATGTCCCAAATCTATGTTGACACTTTTAATGGACCTTAAATGCAAGTTTTAATACAACTTTGCATTAAAAGTGCCATTATTTACCAAATAATGCAAAGTTGACACTTTTAATGGACATTTGGTGCAGCGTTTAGTGCAACTTTGCATTAAAAGTGTCATTATTTACTGAATTATTTAGTGTCATTATCTACTGAATGACACTTCATGACAACAGCCATAACCATTCATGAAGACTTCCTTATGTTCTTTATGTTCATAACAGGTGTTATGTCATATTTATGACATGTCATGTCAGTGTTATCCACACCCCTTCAAATAAAGTGTTACCAAGATTTTTACTACTCATGTATATCAATGGTTTTAAGCCCAGGGAAGTTGACAGCACCTCTAGACAAGCCAAACAAAGGGTTTCTCCTTTGCACAGTTACGTTCTGGGTGGCATTAGTGACAGGAGGGCAGCAGAGATCAGCAACATATAGGACGCCTGATAAAATATGTCAGTATTGCTCCAGTTAAACTATGGTCACCAGTAGTTTGTGTTTGGGACCCTCTGCTGCAACGCCCATCATCCAGTGACCCTTCTAGAATCTGTTCTCCTTCAGTGTCGATGGTGCCAATTGACATAAGTCAACTGATATTTAAAACCAAACTCCCAGTGTGCATTCCTCAGAGTTATCTAATGCTGTAAGCTTTTGATTTGATTGTCCTTAACAGATCAAGTTCGCCAAGCTTAGACTTTAAAGTCCAGGTAGTCATAGAAAGAACAAAAGACTGAGAATATTTGAAGGTAAATTAAGTCCTCTATGACCAAAAGGAGATTTGTTCCAAGAATAAATTTAAGGTTGTGACTACACCGCTGTCGGAGTGAGATGTGGTCCATTAGAACGCAGAACTACAAGACATCCTCAACAGCAATGGTATAAGTTAAAGTATCTTTGATTAAAAACCGTCTTAACTGCTGTTTGTAAATGGACTGATTAGTTTCTCAAGTCCTGGGATGCTTTAGGTTGGACAACAGCAGAAAGAAATGACCCAACACGGGCAGGAACTCTGGCCAGGGGCAAGTGGATGCATCATTACAACTGAACGCCAAGCTTCCACACTCCACTGCTCCTCCCGGCTCACTGCCAAGCTCGTCATCTGGGCCTCTCTGCATGACTCAGGGTTTATAGCGCTGAGTACTAGTGTTCACAGCAACACACACAAATAGGCCATGGTCTAGAGATGAAGAAGGGCGATAACGCTTTGGCTGCGATGAAGGAACTCCTTAAAAGTAAAATGTTTTAGATCCGTTTTAAAAGTTAAATGCTTTCTGATTGTTTCAGGACAACAAATCAAGGTAACATCTGCATACATCCAGTGTATCTGTAATGTGGTCCGGTGGGAACAGCTGGAATTCACTACGCAGGGGAAGCTGGTGGATTAAGCTTAATGCCAACAGTGTAAACAATAGGCCTCTTTGCCTGGTTATGCTAGAAATAGAAAAGCTAGGAGAACAGGTCAGCAGGACTAACCATCTGGCATGCTGCGTCGTGTATGTCGTGTAGCAGGGAGGAGGTCAGGAAGGGGAAAGAAGAGACACCAAAAAGATAAAAAAAATTACAGTAATACAAGCCTCGAGGAAGGTTTCCTATGTCTGGTTGATTAGCAAGAATTTACTAAGCTGAACTGTTGAATTCCTTCCTTAGTTTGAAGCTAGCAGCCGCAGATTGATTCTGAATACCTCAGTTTATTTTCCTTATGACACTATTTTCAATTAAAGTTGGGGATCTTATTACAAAATATCCTTATTTTTATTATTATTATTATTATTATTATTATTATTATAGTCACAAAGAGAGTCCAAATTTAATTTACATGAATGACAATTTAATGCCTGCAACAGAATTAAAAATATTGTACTAACGGTTGAAGACTGCTGGAGTAATGGCCACACCAGCTCAGAAAATGAGCCACTATATTGAAAAAAAGAGAAAAAGACAAATCTTTTGTTTTCACAGCTTGATTAAAAGTTCCATGAATCACAAAATGTGTTTTAAAAGAATCTGTGTACAGTATGAAATGATTCAGTGAGGGTTTACCAGGTTTTTTGTTTTGTTGTTTTATTCATTAGAATGTGTCTAATTCTAAGGGTGGTCCTAATGCCAGGTATTTCAGCTTCCCATGTTATATTTATTTTTGAACATTTCAGATATGCGAAGCTGCAAATCACGTAATTTCTGGACTACAAGTTGTTTCTTTTTCATACGATGTGTTTAATACGTGTTTTTTTTTCCCAATGGGTTATGAAAGGCTGGCCTGCTGGGCGAATTTGCTTTGAGTGTATCGACCATGTGATAAAGGGTTGTCAGAGAGTAAAGCTGATTTAAATGGAGTGACTTTAATAAGTAGAATCACTTGAGGACATAAAGGTTACATATCGCATTCAGCAGAGGTTTATAACTTTGGTGTATATATTGTGTCTCTGCTCTCTGAAAACAAGGAGTGCTGGTCAGTGTATATTTGGAAATCGTCTGTATTTCTGTAGCAGGTTTGCATGGATCAGATGTGAGCTGATTGAGCTTGTAGACCAGACAGCAACGCAGCAGGACTAAAAGATCTGAAAAATCATGAAACATGTTTCCTCACCAAAGCTCAGGAATTAGATCTATGTTAGCT